GAAATGTTAAACCACTACCTAACCTGGTCATTCTACTTCTAGGTGTTTACTCAAGAAAAAGAAAAGCCTATGTTGATACAAAGAATTGGACACAAAAGTTCAAAGAAACCTTGCTATGGTGGTACCCAAACAATGGGAACAATTCAAATTTTTTTCAACAGGTCAATGGACAAATTATGGTACATACATACAATAGACTTCTATTCAGCAATAAACAGAAATATCTACTGATACATGCAACTATGAGAATGAATCTCAAAACAGTTATGATGAAAGCAACCACACCAAATAAACATTGAAAATTCAAACTAATGCATGTGATTTGAAAACAGAATACTGTTTGCCGGGGAATGGAGGTGGGAAGGGAAACTGACAAGGAAGATTGTATATTTCTATGGGGGAATATTTCAGTTAGCACTTTAATTAGAATTATTTTAAATCCATAGATCACTTGGATGATAACTGGTATCTTTAAAACATTGAGGGCTGGGGGTGTAGCTTAGTGGCAAACTGCTTGCCTAGCATGTGTGAGGTACTGGATTCGAGCCTCAACACCACATAAAAATTAATAAATAAACTGGGCTCGGTGGTGTACACCTGTAATCCCAGTGGCTCCAGAGGCTGAGGCAGGAGGATCAGAGGTTCAAAGCCAGCCTCAGCAAAAGCGAAGCACTAAGTGAGGCACTAAGACAGTGAGACCCTGTCTCTAAATAAAAAACAAAATAGGGCTGGGGATGTGGCTCAGTGGTTGAGTGCTCCTGAGTTCAATTCCTGGTAGAATGAATGAATGAATGAATAAAGGTATTGTATCCATCCACAACTAAAAATATTTTTTAAAAGACATTGAGTCTTTACCTCCATAAACACAATGTGTCCTCAATTTATTTAGATCTGCTTTGACTTTTAATTAGTATTTTGTATTTTCATTTTAAAAATTACATGTCTGAATAGATAATATCACCTGTACATTTCAGTTTGGAATAGCAAGTGTGGCTTTATAAAGTATTCATTATTAAAAATGGTTACATCTAATAGGCTTGAGACCCTGACCTGTAGAATTATTACATAAAAGAGAGAACTGGTCTTCAGAATTCACCAAGACCAATGGATGATGAAGATAGAAAGACTCAGCAAAAGAGTCTGAGAAAAAAGGAGGTTGGAAGGGAAAAAAGGAGAATGAGCAACGAGTGAATAAAGAAGACACATACGAAGGAAGGCACATCAAAATGTGTCAAATGTTACTGCGTCATGTAAAATGGGAGGTGAGAATTGAACTTCAATTTAACAATATAGAGGTCACTGGTGTCCTCAACAATAACCATTTCTGTTGCTGGGGTGGAGGGGATGAGACTCTCAAAGCCTCAGTGGAATAACTTATCAGAAAATAGGAGAAGTGGAAATAAATGGAAGAATTTTGCTGAAAAGGGAAGAAATAAGATGATAGTTACAGGGACAAGGAAAAGGTCAATAAAAGATGTTAAAACAGTGGTCTACTGGAGGGTTGCTGTGGTTTGGATATAGCATGTGTCTCCCAAAAGTTCATGTGCTGGAAGCTCACAGTTCACAGCCCAGCAATGCTGAGAAGTGGTAGAAGCTTTAACAGGTGAGGAACAGAGGAAGGTAATTAGGTCAAGGGGTCCCACCCTTGGAAAACATTAATGGTCTGTCAGAGATTAGTTCCCACGCGAGCAGGTTGTTATAAAAAGAATAAAGCCTGGCTCCCTCATCTCTCTTGCTTCCTGTCTTGCCTGTGACCTGTCATGCTTCTCACCATGCTTGAGGCAGTCAGAAAGTCTTCATCTGGAGTTGAACAAACGGAGTCACCAAATCTCTTAATTTTAGCTTCCAAAACCATGAACCTAATGAATCTGTTTTCTTTATAAAGTTTCCAGCTTCTGATTTTTTTTTTCTAGGAACACAAAACAGGCTAATATGTGGGTAAAAAATAATAATATCCACTCTGGGAATAATGAATTTTCACTCTTGCTGGGATATTATATACTAATAATAAAATAAGAGAAAGTGGTAGGGAGAAAACAACAATGAATTAATAAGAAATTCTGATTTAGAGGAACATGAATCAACTAAACCGACATTAGAATAGGATATTGAAGTTCAAATATTATTTTAGAATTCAGTAGCTCTTGCATCTAATACTGAACCTAAATTACTGGTTCAGTGAAAAAATAGTTCTAACATCAATTAAAGGACTGGTATTAATACTACATATAAAACGTGCATTTGTGTGTGTGTGTGTGTAACTTTTGTCACAGAAGCTTACAGTTTGTACACACTTGGAAGAAAATCAACTGACACATTTCATCAAGGAGGCTCATGAATAAGATGAGAGTGCTTAGGATAACAAACCACAATAACACAGTAATTTAAAATTGAAGATGAGCTGCCCCCCTGGGCTCTACCTAGAGGAAGTAATCAATGGAAACTTGGATGAAAGTAAAAAAGAAAAAGGCTTTTAAAGATTTGCATATGATACTTATCCTGCTGCCTCTGTTATGATCCTTAGAATTAAATATCTAGTCTTACTTATCTCTGAAGGGGCTGACTGATGAAACCATGAACCATGACAAGATTCACCTTTCTGGTGCCCTGTGTGAGCTACTCTGAGGTTGGAGGATGTGTTGATTTGGGCTATGACCCCTTCTCTGTCAATGCTTTTCTTTAGTGCCTTCCTACACTGACTGGATTTGGCAACAGTAGCAACTTTAACATAAACTTTAATCCTGTTCTCATATTTTTCAGCTTCTCTTGGGCCCTTAAAAGGAGAGAAATGCCTGGACTATTCTGCTGAGAAGATGTAGGAGACTTATATCTATCCACATGCCACACACCAGCTGACCTTCCTACAAGCATGAGTAATTCTAGCCAAGACCAGCAGAACCACCCAACCAACTTATAGAGCCATACAAACAATAAAGTTGTTTAAGCCACTTACATTTTGGGTTATTGTGCAGCAACAATTACTGACAGAGTGGTCAAGCTGGTCAGACCATTGCTTGATTTGTTCTGCCTCTGAAATAACCTGGATGGGTTAGGGCCAACTACTATAAGGAGTGTGGAAAATGGAAATTAAGACTGTGGTAGTAGTTTCTTTACAAATTAGCAAACATGACGTTTTTTGAACTGTATCCGAATCCCGTAAGCTAAATCTGTTTTACCTTAAGTTTATAATCTTCAAAATGCATGAGATAATAGTTTCTCTCTCCATATAATAATATGTCCCACCCCATCATATTCATTTTCTTTGTGTTCCTCTGGTGATGGCTAATTACATAACTAAGCCTAAGGCTTTCTAAAGTGGAGATCCAGAGGAATGCACTCACACCTACTGCTTAAGGTCAAACCACAGGGCTGGGGATGTGGCTCAAG